TTGTCCTTTTTCCTGTCCTTCAACTTGTAACTTTTAGTGTTCCCGATCACCTAATTTCAAAAATGTGGGTCTGTTCCAGTTTAACTCTTTCACCCATGACTAAATTGGTTAAAAATCTTATTTCAAAAATGCATAAATTATACTAAATTTAGCCACACAAAACTGTAGAGCTGTATTACTTTTTTACACTTGTTTTTCACAAAACAATCTGTGTCCCACAGGAATAACTACATTTGGTTTAGGTTTTATTGTTGCTGTTGTTTTCTTAAGAAGGAGAGGAGCAGTAAACGTTAAGTTCTAAACTTCTTTAAGAGTTGACCCCAGGAATCTCTTATAGAGATTTGGATGAACACCCAGAGAGGAAATCTCCACAGTCCTGACACTGAAGAATAACGTATTAACCAAGCAGACACAAAGGAAGAGAGAACATTTAAAAACCAGAAACGAAAAATCACCAGAATTAGAATAGTAATATTCTCGAGAATTGGCAATATTCTCTTTGTTTTAGCAAACATTTAACAAATAAAACGTCCTTCAATAACAAGCTTTATGAATGCAAACTTTGTTTATTGACTAATAATGGCATACCAGTCAGGCAAATGTCACATTTTCTATGATAAAAGAATACTTTAGCACAGTAACAATAGTTTGAGAGCCAAAAAGTCTGAATGCGGTTTTTCATGGTTAATTAAGCCTCCAGAACTATACTTTTGACTCAGTATTTCCAGTCTACTACGGGAGAACATTTCAGTAGGTCAAACAGAAGTGGAGCCCAAGCGAAAGGTAAGCAATAAGCTCTTTACTCACTGATATCAAGTCAACGTTGCTTCTTAGCAACCCTACAGGACAGGGTAGACCTACCCCATGGATTCCCAGGACTCTAATGCTTTATGGGAATAGAAAGCCCCATCTTTCTCCCACATAGCCGGTGATTTCAAAATGCTGACCTTGAGGTTCGCAGGCCAACATGTAACCACACCATCAAAGCTCTTTATTGATTCCTCAAAGTCATGCCATATAGGAATACACTTGACCTGTTTATTTTCCCCCTTTCCAATTTTACACACTTCTCTCTATAAAGAAATCAGGGTTCTTAAAAGGAACAGCTTAGAATGGAGGAAAACCGCAATTATTAAGTGCCTAAGAAATTATATCCATGATCACACTTAAGCTTCACAATCAACACTTCAGGGAATGTACAATTAACATGACTAATGCCATTTGGTAAAAGGTTCTATTAGGCTCAATCATTTAACAAAAGTACTGAGCACCTTACTATAGTGGTTCAGCCCTGTCACTTAATTATTTAAGACTTACTTTCTTCATCAGAAAAAATGAACTTAATCATCAGACTGCTTACACAATACCATGAGATTAATTACTGTGATTTTTATTTTAATTTCCCATGAAAGAACAATATTGGCCTAAAATAAAGTATTTGGCTTTTCTTTCTATCCCGTTTTTCCCTGAAATGGTGTGTGTATGTGTGCGCGCGCGTGTGCATGAGAGTGGGGGCAGGAGAGAGCGGTTACTGGTCACCAGCAGCATTTATAAGAAGCTAATTTCAGTACTCCAACATCATTAGCATAGAAGCTTTCCTGACTACAATATAATCACTTCTTTCAGTTCCCAGTTTCATTTCCAAAGCAGCGTTGACTATAGAGAATCAATCCATCCTGTAGTAAGAAGAACCTCCTACATTAATAAAAAATTCAGTTCTGATGACCACATCATCATTGTAATTAAACACATTCACACCAGGTGTCTCACACTCACCTGGCATTGAAAAAGAAAGCGTACAGGATAGAAGGGTAGCTCAGTGGAGCACCAGGTATAGGCTAGCTTACTGATGACCCTGATCATTTAGTGGGATCACCATGTGTTCTGGTTTGTCCAAGATATTCCCAGTTTATCTAGTTACTTAGAGTATCCTCTTGTGGCAGTTACATAATTTCCTGTCAACTTGTGAAGGAGTGGAGTCTAGCCTGTCAATCAGGCCGCAGCTTGATGACCTCATTTGGAGCTGCGACGGAGATAAATAGCTGTCTGGAGGCCAGATCCACACAGACACTCTGCTTCGTCTCTCTGCTGACAAGCCACATATAGCTACACTGATGCAGCCAGAGCCCTGGAACTGCAAGAGCCATGTGCAAAACCACACAAGTGTTGAGAAGCTTCCACCACCACTGGGTCCACAAGACTTTCCACCCACTAGCCTGTGATTCAGCATCATTGCATGGCTGCATGAGTCTAAAGAGGAATTCATGGACTAGTATTGATATATGGGGTAATATCGGACTTATGGACTTGATCTGGACTGGGCTGGGATGTTTTCTTAATGTAAAATTGCTCTTTGACATAAAGTTCTCTCTTCCACATATGAATGTCTCTGTATTTCTCTAGTCTATCTGGACATTTTTACACGTCTTTTCACAAAAAAATCTGTGTCCCAAAGGAATACCTACATTTGGTTTAGGTTTTGTTGTTGTTGTTTTCTTAAGAAGGAGAAGGGCAGTAAACAATAAGTTCTAAACTTCTTTAAGAGTTGACCCCAGGAATCTCTCTCTTTAAACCTCAGAAGTGTTTTTGTGTAAATATTGAATCATATATGGCTAACAAACTATTAAATATGACAGATTATTTCCATCTCTGTTATAAAGTACAACAGGGACCAAGAATAGAAGAGGTGTGAAAGAATATAAATACAGGATAAATGCAAATTGAAACTATTTGTAAAAGTACCAAAAAGTACAGCAAAAAAGCAAATACAACAGTTCACTACAAATTCAAGCCTTCTTAAAAGCTAAACACTGTTAATTTCATGAATATCTAGCTTTAAAAATAATTCAAATTAAAAACAAATTGTGTATATGTGTGTGTGTGTGTGTGTGTGTGTGTGTATTCTGAATCTAACATTTTAGCTCTTTGAGCTGGTGAAACTGATAAGAAACAAGAGCAATGTGCAATTTGCACAATTTTTTGCCCAGACAAACACACATACCAAATGACCCATTATTACTACGGAGACAACTGACTGTGAGGCTGTAAGTAGTGATCCCGGGAGGGCAGTAATTTGGATTGTTCTCCATCTTACCCAGCAACTCACATTGGGACTAAGAGAAGAGGAAGTATTTGTGTTTGGGCTAAGCACACTTTCTTCATGGGTAAAGAGGCATTCACTAAGTTGTACCTCATCTTTCTTCTCCTGAATGCGGCGTCTCTCTGCCTCAATTGCCAACTTCTCCTGGATTTCCTGAGCAATTTCACAGTCTTGTTGTTCACTGAAAAACAAGAGGTAAAAATTAGAAAGAAAATAAGGAAGGATTTTCCTTAAAGTAATAAGCAGCATTGGATATTCACGATGAGTCAATATATATATATATATATTTACCTCACTAAATTCTCACAATAGTGAGGCAAATAAGTTGATATTGTCACATCTTACAGATGAGCAAATTGAGGCTCAGACAAATTCATGCATTTCCCTAAGGTCGTACAGAAAATAAAGGGCTGAGTTGGAATTGGAACCTCAGCGACAACCATGGAAAGCAGGGTTTTTCCTACACTGCCATCTCACCTCATTTTACTAGGACTACTCCATAGAAGGCATGTTTTCTGGAGAGACTGTAAAAGAGGTTTAGGCTATGAAGTTAGTGTCAACAAAATATATAATATATATACCGGGAGAGACGGAAGAAGATGGTGTCCAGTTAGATTTACCGGCAAGGAGCTCCTGCTGCAGACCAGAAAATTGGGAAGGAAAGTGAAGGAGACTGGGAGGCTGCGTCTTAAAATTAGCATCAGGGTACTAGGGTTTGTCCTGAACCCCACTGTTTTAAAATTTTCATTCACAAAGTGACCCGAGAATGCACAGAAACACTCTAGGTTTGGTGTGCCAGACAAGGATGCTCCTTGTCCCCACTCATATTTAACATTGTACTGGAGATCCTAGCTAAGAGCATAAGGCAAAGAAAAGACATCAAAGGTATACACCTGGAGAAGGAAGAGGTGAAACTATCATTATTGGCAGATGATATGATTTTATATATGGAAAAATCAAAGCTCCACAAGGGGAGTACTGGAAGCAATAGAGGAATATGGCAGAGTGGCAAGATACAAGATCAACAAACAGAGGTCTATCAGACTGCTATACACATAGGGCATGACCACAGAAGAGGATATATAAAAGATGGTAGCCTTCACAATAGCCAAACATAAACTGAAATATCTAGGGATATACCTGACTAAAAGAACAAAAGATCTATATGAGGAAAACTACAGAACACTATTACAAGAAACCAACAGTGACCTCAACAAATGTAAGAATATCCCATGCTCGTGGACTGGAAGACTCAATATAGTAAAGATGTCAGTTCTACCCAACGCACTCTATAAAAGTTTATGGCAATCCTGATACAATTACCATAATCTTTATTCAAAGAATTGGAAAAACTGATTACCAAATTTATATGGAGAAG